AATCCCAGGATTTCTTGTAATGACAAGGCTCCTTTAGATCCAATTGGATCTTTCATGTATATATAAATTATATATATATATATATATATATATATATAATATTCATGTCCTGGTTAAAATCAAGCTCAGGTAGGTACATTGTCTTTACCAAAATATTTTCCTACAGTTTCAATTACACATTTTATACAACAACAAAGTTCAAAATCAAAACTGAATAGTGCTCCTCCTAAATAACAGCTACATTTTTATACTGTGCATTCAGTTTTTGGTAGACTTTTAATCTTTCAAATTGAAAAGTGTTATACAAATTTGACCTATTGTAACTATAAAAGAACAGTAAAGTAGCTACAGTTTTTCATAATATTAATTATCATATATTTATTACATTTTATGCTTTCTGAAGGATATAACTTTTCCTTATATTGCAGAGAAGAAGAGTTGGTTTATGAATACAAACAATATTTTTGGCTTTATACCTTCAGTGTGTCTGAAGCTTTAAACATAGTTTAGGATTTTATTGAGCAGAATTGGTAGGAATAATAAATCGGTGATACTCCACTGTGCAAGGCCCCATCTGCACCAGGGACCTAAGGAGGGCTGCTGAGAGGCAGAATAGCTACAGCACTGGACTATTGAGAGAAATCCCACTGTTTAGCTACACTGTTGAATAGCTGTAATAGCTGTAATTAGCACAATGTCCTGTGGATAATGAATTTTATTCACACCTGGGTTTTGACCCTGTAAGGTTAGAAGAAAAGTGCCAGCAATCCTCTCTTCCTGCCTCCTGTCTTGACATAGAGCCTACAACTGAGTTGTGTGGCCAGAACAGCACAACTGAATGCATCCTAGAAACTGCCAATTTCTGCAGAATTGTATCAGTAATGACTTTCAGGTGTTGTCCTTCAGGAATTTTCCGGAGAAGGAAAATAGTGCAAAACTATACATTGTAAAAAATATCCCCTCTGGACCACATTAATAGTCGCTGCAGCAGTTTCTGCACTTTTCTATGCTAGCAGCTGAGATCTCAGAAGGTAGGAACTTTCAAAAACTAATTTGATATTTTCCCTTTTTTCAAAAGCATACTGTTTATAAATCATGAAAAAAAAAAAAAGAGAGATAGAAAGGCAAATAAATGCCAGTTCTTTAAATGTTAAATGTAGAAAAACCCCTCAAATAATGTCTTAGCTATAATCTTTCAGCTCAGCAAATAGTCTAGTTCTACACAATTGAACACTCTTAACAGGTGAATTTCTGACTGTACACTTACTCAATTTAGGTTGAATCCTTATTTTATGCTCTTTTAAAAGTCATGAGCCAAAATAAAAAGTGCAATTAAACTTCCTCTTGTTCTGAAATTGCTGTAGCTAGCAACCTTCATTTGTTCTCAAGAATTTCAGGGCAGAATTCCCTAGACACTATTGTAAGGTCTACATAATAACTCAGTCTTCAGAGTGTTATAATTCCATCAAGTACTAGAATACAAAACATTAATGAATGAAGCTTTAGTCAGTGCCCTTTCATGAAAAAGTAATACAGATACAGATTCATCAGAACACCCCAGAAGTTTCTTCCTATTTTACTTCCTTTAGTAGCTTTTCTATTTCCTGTTTTCTTTCCCTTCACTGTTAATATGTAATTGAAATACATGCAGATCACACATAAAAAGACTCCATGAGCATCACAATTTTTCTAGGTACTTAGTCAGCCTGACCACTAATGCTCAGAAAGATGTGAATTAATAGGGTTGTTCAGCATCCAGAAGATCTGGCTAATCAAAATCCCCCAAAAGCCTGAATTCATGTCACCTGTCTTTGGGAACCCCTCTCAGTCATGTGAGGGGCTCCAATGTGCTCTGCAGAGATCATCTGGCAATTTTAGTGGATGAATAAACACCTTGCTCATACCACTATCTCCTTCACCAAATATGTAGGCTGGGGCAGCCACACTCCTAACTTGCTACTTAAGTTCTTGAAGATTCCTGGGGCAAATGTAGATCTAAATTTCCAGAACCAGATCCCCTGGAAAATGATCATGTTTATTTCTTAACTGTGTAAGATTGACCTGACCAAGAAAATTTCTGCCAAAAAGAATAGGGCAACTATGAGGAATATCCAAAGAATTCGAAATTCTGACACTCTCACCTGGAACTCATCATGGTCATCACTGTCTTTGGCTTTCTTGATCAAGAGACAGAATTTTTCATCCCTTCTCACCTTCAGAGACACATTTCACAGAACAAGGAGCATCTATGCAATATTCCTTTACTCCTTTTGTCTGAGCACCAGGCCATGAAAGACAGAAATTCAGCAGCAGCAGCAGCTCTCTTTTGGGATACAATGACAACAAGGTGGCAGTTATAACATCAAAGGTCTTTTCATCTTATTTGAGACTGACTCCATCCTTCTTTCATTTCCAGGACAACAGCTAAGGCAATGAAGGAAAATTACTGCTTTTTCTCATTCTATCATCTTCCAAGTGTGTAGCTGCATGTGCACTTTGTGGCAATAGGAAAAAAGTAACTGCAACCACTGGGAATTTTTTAGAAGAAAATGGATGCTGTTTTCCAAAACAGGCCCAAATGTTGATGCTCCCTTTAAAGACACATTAGTAGTGTTTACCCTGACCTACAAAAATGTTGGCAAATTACCAGAAATTAGGTTCTGCATTATGTAGCTAACAGCTAACCCTACAATATGTAGTTGTAATGTATTATTTCATAAGAGTCTTCTACAAAATATCTTGTTTGTCAAGTTCCCTTGGTTGCATAAGCAGTGATAAGATCCAATCTTTTGCCCCAAGCACCAGGCAGTAATGATATCATTGTCATCTACTACTTCTGCAACTGCATTAGCCTACCTTGAGGATTCTGCCATACACTTTGGGCATGATGGGAATTCTCTTTTGGAAATAATCTTTAAGGACCATCAACACTTCCTTTTTTAAGAAATAAAAGCCCCTTTTTACCCACTTTTCAAGGCTGCAACTTTTAAAGCTAAAGCTTTCACACACTTCTTATTCTCCAGCTATATCTATCCTGTCAGCTATATTTATCCTGTCTATTCAAATCTCCTGTCTATTAGCTTTTTGTCAATGGAAAATCAGGAGCATATCAAATTTCAGCCTAACACTCCTTAGAAGACATTTGCCAGTATAACACAGCATATGCTCAGCTTTATCCTAATAGAGAGCAGAGAGGAAAGTTTAAGCTTTTGCTAATAACAATCTAACCTTTTATCCAAATATTTGCAAGGAGCATATCTGAATACCTAGGCACCTCCTATGGGTCTCTAATCTCTTTAATTCAAATAATTTTCATGGTACTTTTTACATTTTTACTTTTGTCTCATGCTGCATACACACAGAAGTCTCTCAAAATCTAGGCAGCCCTTCAACAAACCAAATTAAAGGAAGTTGTGTTAAGATGATAACTGATAGTTTAGGAAAATCAGCTGAGACTGGTAAAGGCTCCAGGGCTGGTAAAGCACATCCCACTCAGAATATGTCAGTGTAATCTGACTAACTTTATGTTCCTTATGTTTGTTTTTTTAAATCTGAAAATTTAATGAAAGGAGAATACGTTCAGTGATCAATAAGTTCACAGAATCATAGTGTCATTTAGGTTGAAAAAGACCTCTAAGAATTCTGAGTCCTATAAAAAGGTGAGGAAGTACAGTATTTATATGGCAAACACCTATATGAAGATATGCTGATTATTCCAATCACTGGTTTTAAAGAGGAGCAGATTAAAGTCACAATATAATGATGAATAATGATGAGCACAAAGATATTCCTGAAATGAATAACTGGTGTGAAATTGTCCTGCTCTGAAAATTCAATCTGTAAATTACTATCACTATAATCATTATTAGGTATTTAGGTCACTTGTACTAGCAATCACTTAGCTGAATAAATAAACCTGAACTTATATTGCACTCAAAACTGGTTTTAGTTGTCCCTGTGGAGTCACAGAAACTGTTTGGAGGGGCATGGAGGGGAAGAAGGGGCGGATCTATGGTGGAACAACATGTTATTAATTTTAACTTTATATAACTTAACTACATAAAGGTTTAGAGATCAAAACAGAGCCAATACAACATAATGAGCATTAAAATTCTAAGTAGTAAAAACATAATACTAACTTTATTTCTCATTTAAAACTTACACATTTTAATGGCACTTAGTGGACTTGCTATACGGAAACATTGCATTGTAACATCTTCACAAGCCATTTCCAAAATGTAAAAAAAAAACCCTTGTAAGTATTAATTTAAAAACTACTGGATTTCTATTCTCTTTTGCTCTTCTAAAAAATAGAGACAAAATCCAAGGCCTCCAGTACATACATGCTACCTTTTTAATTAAAAAATAATTTAAAACAGTCACGGAAACATCTCCTTGTTTTGTGGTAATGTACTGATAGTACACGAAATCCCAGTTAACACCAAGATGGGCCCTAGAAGAATGGCTGTTAGATTTATTAATAGAGGTACATTTCTCAAATGTACAAACTTCAAAAGTATTTTCTTTATAATAAGGAGTGATAAATAGGTCAGCAAATGGATTCTGAAATAATTTCTGTAAACCAGCCAGAAAACCTTCCAGTGACTTCAGCAGATTTTGAAACAAGCATTCAGATCTTAGCTATTATACATTTTCCGCATCTTTTCAATGAACAATGATGGCTTTCTGTTCTGAAAGCCAAATGTATCTTTGTCTTTTCTCTCACAAAAGATCAGAACCCTATAAGAGCCATCTGGACTGTTTCTTTGTATGGCTGTAGATTATGCAGATATAGACTTCAAACACAAACTGCAAAAATCCTATTGTAGCAGTAGCAACCGACTGGGATCTTCATCCAAGAGTGCTTTGAAGTCAAAGGAGCTGGATCAGGCCCTCCATGTGCCTTGCACAGTAAAATGATTGACCCTATTGTGGCAATTTATACATGTGATAATTGCATAGCTGTTACTTTATGTCAGCTTTCTCACATAAACTCTTACCTCCAAGGCATGCACCCATGGCCAATGAGAAGATTAATGGTTTCATAGGCAAGTTAACATCTGGATCTTTACTCAGATTGAGAAGCACTGGAATCTGTGGTCCAAGAAGAAAAGAGAGCGAATCAGTAGACATTATCCAACCCTCAGCACAACATAAGTTCATTAAAGGAGACAAACCACCAGGAAATCCAAAGAGTAATGGGGGAGGGGGGGAGGAATTTTTTGTTCTTGATGTTGATTTCTCAATTAATTTATTTGCATCATATGCTTGATACTTTTCCCACTGACTGTGCTTGTCCCATAGCAGAGGAGAAGCTATTGACACTAGGGCAAGCCTGACACAAGTACTGCTAACAAAACTGAGGCTGTCTTCAGCTTTTGAGTGCCTTCCATGAGACCCTTCTAGGTCTACAGAAAACTGACAGTGACTATAAATCAATTCCCCTTTAATTTCTTGAAAGCTAAAGGACAGAGATGTGTCTCCTCTTCGTCGCTGGAGATGATGGTAAAAGGTGCCCAGACCTTCACAGTGAAGATGGCTGTAGATCATGAGTCAGTAATCAAAAAATTACAAATCCTTTTTGTAATCAAAAACATCTGATCCATTAGGGGAAAACTGAGAAAACTCCATTTGGCAGGCTTCTAAATTCATAAGCAGATCAGAGTTATTTTACTTCTTATTTCAACATTTTATTTACCACAGAATGTGGATTTAGTTCACTGGGAAATATTTGCAAATGGTTTAATGCCAGCCAGCAGCTAAGCACCATGCGGTTCCTATCTCATACTCCCCAACACCTCCCCTTAGTGGGAAAGAAGAATCAGGAAAAAATATGAAACATTATGGGTTGAGATAAAAACACTTCAATGATTGAAAAAATATTATAACAATAATTAATAATTATCATTATAGTGAATAAGATGATGATGATGATGATTTTAATGAAAATGAGAGACAGAAAAAGGAGTACAATGGAAGATAAATAAATGATGTATAATACAATTGCTCACTAACTGCTGACTGCTGCCCAGCCCATCACCCAGAAGCAATTTGTGACAAACTCCTCATAGTTTCTATACTGAGTGTGTCATTCTATGGTATGGCATATCCCTTTGGACAGTTCGTGTCAGGTCTCCTGGTTATGCCCCCTCACCCACCCTCCAGTTTCTTGTGCTCCTGCTCCCTGGCACAGCATGGGAAAATGAACAGTCCTTGACTTGGCATAAGCACTACTTAGCAACAACCAAATCAGTGTGTTATCAAGATTATTCTTATGGTAAATCCAAAGCACAGCACTGTAGCAGCTACTACTAAGAAAATTAATTCCATGCCAGCCAAAACCAGAACAGGCAGTTTTATGAATTTCATTTAATTGCTTTAGCAAATAAAATAAAATTAAAAACAACAACAAAAACAAAAAAAAAACCACCAAAAAACCCCACCAAAAAATAAAAAAAAAGACAAAAAAACCAAAAAGAACCTGAAAAGTGAAACAAGATTTGTAGGAAGGCATAATAGACTTCATTAGGAAATTGGTATAGGGCAGGCAGCCTTTCTAGCCAGATCTAGCACCAGTTCTCAGCCAGTAACATTCTTCAAAACTAAACAACCACCTTCATTTGGAAAAATGGTTTGAGTTCAACATAATTTTGTGACCACTTGGTTTGAAAAAACCAAGTGATCAGTACCTGTAGAGAGAAAGTTATTGGAGAGAGGTGACAATACTATTCGCCTGTTTTTAGCATGTTCAGAGGTTTATGGGACCAAAAGAGAAGGAGAAAGTATAACAAAATGTAGAATAGTAAGACATGATGCAGGAAGAGATTTGAGAAAATAACTGTGATATATATTTAAATTAATGCTTTTTCAGAGTCTAGGAGTTTCAGTAGGGAATGGAGTGATGACTTTAATCCTCCAATTTGTCATTTTAATGTATTTCACAGTTCACCCTCAAGGGGAATGTTCTCTTCTGCTTCCTGAAAAATGCTTTCACTTTGATGGCTGAGCAATGCTCACCTTTATTGACTGCATGTATTCTTTTGGTATGGAGCAATTTATAGGCTTTATGAAGAATTACACCCCTTTCCCCTGTCCTCCCACCAGTGATGATACACATCCCTCTTAAAACCCTCTTATTGATTAGCCTAGATAAGCTAATTTCTAAACAATTATTCTTGAATTTTACATTGCCTGAAAATGTCTATTTCTATTTAAAGGCCTAAAGAAAGCCCACCATGGCCAACATCTTGTCTGGCTTTTGCATGAAACAGTAAAGATGTCATTTCTCATCACAAACTTAATTTCTCTCAAACTGTCACAGCTGGAACATGATATGCAATACAAAATTAAGTTATATTTATTTAAAAATAATTTAATGTTTCAGTATTTCCTGTTGTTGAGATCAGTCCTAAAGCTGTGACCAGACAGCTCCTTTAGTGAAGAGCAAATAATGCTGTGATAAAGTGATGAAAGGAAGACTAGGGAAAATGTGGAGGAAGGAAATAGGAGACCTGGTTATCTGGGACATGTGGAAATAGCTGAGGTACTCAATAACTGTTCTGTCTTGGTCTTCACCATCAAGTGTTCCAGCTACATTGCTCAAGTCAGAGAAGGCAAAGGTAGGGACTGGGGGAACAAAGGACCACCTGCTGTAGGAAAAGACTAGGTTTGAGACCATTCAAAGGAAACAGAAGGTGCCCAAGTCCATGATGACTGATGAGATGTATCTGCAGGTCCTGAGGGAACCAGCTGAGGAAGTGACTAAGTCACAATGCATCATATTTGGGAAGTCATGGCAGTCTAGTGAAGTTCCCACTGATTGGAAAATGGGAAACATAACCCTCGGTTTTTAAAAGATAAAAAGAAAGACCTGGAGAACTACAGGCCATCCAGTCTCACCTCGGTGCGTGGCAAGGTCCTGGAGCATATCTTTCTGGAAAGTACGCTAAGGCAAATGGAAAACAAGGAAGTGACTGATGACATCCAACAATGCTTCACTAAGCGTGCATGGTGGCTGGCTTTCACCCAAATTGGAGAGGCATGGATCTGATAGACAGACCATTGGGTGGATTAGAAATTGACTAGATGATCTTACTTAAAGAGCTGTAGTCAATGGCTCAAGGTCTGAGTGGAGCCCGTTGACAAATACCATTCCTCAGGGACTGATATTGGGACTGGTGCCATTTAACACTTTTGTCTTCAATATGTTCAAAGTGTTCAAGACCAGGTTGCACAGGGCTCTGAACAACTTGGTCTAGTGGAAGGTGTCCCTTCCCACGGCAGGAGGATTGTAACTGGATGTTTAAGATCTTCCAACCTTAAGGATTCCATGCTCCTATGATATTGTCCAGTTTGTGTATTTGTGCAAACTGCCTGTGAAACAGCAATTCACACCGTTATTTTAGGGACTCATTACTGCTCTACACAATGGGACTTCACACACTTTGCTAAGAACTGCCTGTGGCAAAGATGTCTTCTGTGAAAACTGCAGAGAATATGCATTAATAGAAAACAATTTGTAGCTTCCCAAACTGCCGGTGATTGCCCTGTCTCTGCAGATGGCTACAGCCTAGTCTTGCATTTTTACTGGGCAGTGAAATGCAGGACATCACAGATCACTCTGGAAGGGCAGAAGGCAAGGAAATTCCAGAAAGAAATCTGACATTAAGAATATGAGATACATGCTAAACATTCAGCACTGCAAGAGAAGAGCATCCAATAGTTTTAGAGACAATAAAGAGTGGGCCAAAAATTATTTACTTTCTAACTAAGACCTGTCAGAGACTAAGTCACCTTGTCAGCCAGATGATTCACGGAAATTCTTTGTTGCTCTATATTGAGGAAATAGTACCTAAACTCAGCTAAAAGAGGGATTTACTGTGGCTTTTTACTTCCAGTAATATAAGAAAAATATAAACAGATGGTTTCAGCATATATCGCTGATAAAACATGTCAATTAAACTAAAGAGCATGCCGGCAATAACATCATGTCACTTAAAATCCTAAGGGCAGAAATTCATGGCTATTTGAACATGACAATTCCAGGAAAGTCCAGGCCTTAAAAATTAGAAAGTCTGCCTGTCAAAGAATGTCATTGAAAGTTTTGCCTGCTGATAAAGGAAGAAAAATATCAGAGGTTTAATAGAATGACACATAGAGCATCAATGAAGCTTCAATACATTTATTCTGCAGACAAAGAAAGCTGGATATGCAACATGAAAAAACCCTTGCCATTCAAAAATTAAAACATGAGAAATATAATAGCCAAGCTCCTGGTTTATGAATTTTTTATGATAGAACACTATCTGTTTTTTTAAGGAATTCCCAGGTATAACTATATATACCAGATTTTCAGCTTGCAACACAGATTAGATTTGCTGCTGGCAACACAGCCTTTTACATATAGTCTGCGTTCACAGAGTTTCCCATAAAGTATTTCTCAAACTCCAAGTCTGGGACCCTGAAACTGTAAAAGGACCCTTTGTATCAGCTGAATGTTCACAAGTCCACGGAGCATGATGGCATTCATCCCATAGTACTGAGGAAGCCAGCAGATGTTGTGACAGAACCCCTCTTGAACAACTACCAAAGGCCTTGGGAACCTGAGAAGGTCACTGCTGGCTGGCAGGTTGTCAGTGTTATTTCAGTTTAGAGAAAGAGCATGAAGAAAGACCCAGAGAAACACAGACCTGTTGGTCTAACCTAAGATCCCAGAAAAAATACAGAAAATATTATACTGGGCACCACTGAGAGGCATTTAAAGAGCACTACACACCTCAGGCAGAGCCAACAGGGTTCTCAGTGAGAAAGCCCTGTTTAACTAATTTGATATCCTTCTGTGATAAAGTCAACATCCTTATGGATGAAGGGAAGGTAGTGAATGTAGTTTTTCTGGATCCTAGGAAGGCTTTTGACACTGTTCATCACCGTATGGTCTGGCTGTGGGATGAGCAGGTTCACAGTGCTCTGTGTGAAGTCCTGGTTGAAGGGCAGAGCCCAGAGGGCTGCAGTGAGTGGGGTTACAGTTGACTGGTGACCAGGCACCAGCAATGGTTCTCATCTAGGGCCAGCTCTGCTCAAAATATTTATCTGAATATTTAACCGTCTGAAAGCAGGAGCTGAATGCACAATTAGCAAGTTTGCTGCTGATATTATACTGGGAGGTGCTGTTGTCTCTCTTGAGGGTTGACTGTACAAAAGTCCTTGAGTGTGTCCAGAGGACAGCAACAAACAGAGGAGAGCAACCAGAAGGTGTGTCCTGTGGGGAGCAGCTGAGTTGGTGCAGTTTGGAGACAAGAGGGCTGAGGGGTGATTTCATTCCTCTCTACAGCTTTCTGGGGAGGGGAAGTAGAGGCGGATGTGCTGAGCTCTTCTCTTGGGATCCAGTGACAGAGTACAGGGCAATGGCTCAGAGCTGCATCACAGCACATTCAGACTGGACATTAGGAAGCATTTCATTTCTGAGAGGATGGTCAAACACTGGGAAAAGGTTGCTAGAGAGGTGTTCAGTGCCCCAAGTCTGCCAGGGTTTAAGAGTCATTTGGCCTATGCCCTTAATAACAGGCTTTAGTTTTTGGTTGGTCCTGATTTGCTCAGGCAGTTGTACTGGATGATTGCTGTAGATCTCTTCCAAGTGAAATAGCCTATTCTATAATTCTACAATACTTTTTTACAGTATATCTTACTTGGTGACAAGAAGTGATTGATTTTCCTATCACTTGCAGATAGCTATCACAGTTGTCAGGCATGCTTATGCAAAGAAATGCAATAAACACTCACTCATGCAGACATATATTTAATCAGGGAGCTGGATTTTCACTTTTATATTTAGAGTGAAGGGGAAAGTCCTGGGATTACAGTTCATTGGGAAATTTTCAACCCCCTAATCTTGTTTGGGGGCAGTTCATTGTCTTTGCATACAGGATGAATTATTTGAAATAAGCAATTAGAAGATATTTCAAAAACTGTTTTGTCTTCATGCAGTTCCAACACTCAATTTTTTAAAAAACCAGAATTTTGGCAAGGCAAAAACAATACAAGTGCTCAACCTATGATGAGCTAAGTGCACTCAGAAACTCATCCAATTGTTTTTCGTAGGCAATTATCTTCGTAGAGCATCCTCTGTAGCAAAAACTACGTGCTGTGTTCTGCTCTCTTCCCAGAGTTTTCAATTTGGCAACTTCAATACACGAATTCCATATGGTACTGACATTTTTGAATGTGGTTTACACCAGATTTATGCTTGTCTAGAGCAGAGAAGAATTTGACCAACAACAGTGTTGCACTGAAAAGGTATTTTCAGGACAAGGCACTTCAAATAATACACTGATCTGATTTTTGTAATTTCCAAATATTTTAATAAGAGAAATCTTCTCCATGTTGCTGAAGGCTACTGAAAATTATTGGTATGTTTTCACTGTTTAAATAAACATACAAATATTTTGCACTTTAAAGTACACCCATCTTAAAATAAGTGAAAATATTTGTTTTGTTCTTATGGCTGCAGATAATGTGTTGTGTTTTAAGATAAGGAAGAATCTAAAATTGCCTACACAGATACACAGAATCTCTTGAAAATGCTAAGAATTTCTTCTAGCAAACCAGTTTTCTTATTGGTTTTCATTATTTCAAGTCACAAAATAGTTTATTTCCTAGAATTCTGTGTAATGCTGGCTCATATATATTCCAATTCCTTTTTCAAAATATCAATCTACAGTTTCCACTTTTCACACCCTCTTAAGTTAACAGTTAAGTCAGCTATAAATTTTAATGTTGTTGAATCTGAAACTTTAAACGAAGCAGTCAAATTTATCCAAACACTTAATAAAGTGAAACTTTTAGTCTCAAGATCCATTAATTAGGCATTAATATTTTTTCCTCTTTTTTTCTTTTTTTTCTACACACAAAGCAAGCCATTATTAATCTGATTATCTCACTAGTACATACACAGAAACTGAAAGGAAATTTTGGACAACCATACATCAACTTGATTTTTTAAAGGAAACACAACATCACAGTAACAGAGCTGTTTGCAGGTTTTTCTGTTTTGATTCCCTTCAGCTACACACCTAAGTTAAGACTCAGGCTGCAATGGAATTTTGTATTTCTTCCATTCCTCAGGTAGTTCCTGGGTCAAAACACTACACATGACAGAGAATTGAAAGAGTTCACATCTACAGTGCCTTCAGCACAGAGGGGCAGTCACCTCACATAGAAGACTGTCCCCGCTCAATCCATTTCTGAGTTACTACATTGATTGTGCAGCCCATCTCCTCCCCCTGTTCCACATCTGGACAAGATGCACTAGATATTGTTTTAGGAGATAAGTGGAAGACCTTATCCAACAGCACAGAGGCAGTGTTGGGGACATCTCATTTATGAACTGATGCCTGTCTTGAGGCTGCCCATACCTGAAGGAACAAAACACTAAACCTTTCCAGATGCCATTGCCACTGCAGTAGTTTTTTCCACAGTCAGCTGGGGGCTCACAATCAGAAGAACTGGGATGGGCAATACTGCCCCATTCCTGAAATACGGGACAAAAACCATGGTATACTTGTCTTTCTAATGCAGAAATGATACTATTAGCATCCTTGACTGTGAGCTGCCACCCGGCCTTTTATCATCTCTCTATGATAGCTAAGAAATTCACGTACAGGTCAAACAAGCATTATCCTATGAGACAGGTTTTTCTTAACTCCTGGTCAGTGGCAAAGCCAATGTAGGCAGAGGTCTGTGATGTCATCCTCCAACCACTTTTGTCAGTCATAGTACACAGCTGGTATCTATGAAGCTCACAGATTTTTTGTATCTGAAGGAGGCTGATGGATTCCACATCCCTAGCCAGTACTTGGTCGGTCCATCAAAGCTATGACTAATGAACATCTCGAGAGAGATTAACCCATTGTCGTGACATTGTTCCCCACTGAAGGAGACTTATGGAGACCAGAGGAATTCACTACATGTGTCTTTCGCTATTATGAGTGCAGGCTCCTTTGTGAAGCTGGAACCTTTTCCAAGAAAAGGACAGAATCATTCATGTCACTGCTATGTCACAGCAGGTGCCCCATACTCCTGTATCACTAAGGAATGTCAAAGCAAACTCATATATAGAAGTCCCTTATAAGTGAAAAGTCATTCTACAAAAGAGTTGGGTTCAATATATTTAATACTCCTCTTCAGAAGTCCATAACTTCGACACATATACTGAAAAATAGCCTTCCAAAACTAAATACTGCTTGTTATAAGAGTAGGACCAAAGTACTAAAGAATCAAAAAGAATTTTTAATGGAAGTTTAAAGATCTTGAGACTTAATTACTTAGCAACATTCTGTAAGCATTTTCTAGTGCAAAATGACAAAAACTGAAGTGCAAGCTTATTCATCAAAGTATATGAATCTCAACTCTAGTTTGCCAAATAGCTCAGCTAATGACTGCTTTTACATAGGTGAGAATATGCATGCATTTTTCTTCCTGTCTCTTCTCTCTCTCTATTAAAAAAAATAATTAAAAATTGTAGCAATCTCTTAGGTTTATCCCAGAACAGAATGTGAAAAATATTAATTTGAAATAGCTTAAAATGTTGACAAGGATCCCTTCCTGTCAATCTGTATTTGCCATGCTCAAAGACACAAAAGAAATGGTTTTCAGGCATCCCAAGGGATTCTTGCACTTCAGTCCCATTTCCCAAAACATACTCATTTCATGGTTCTATTTGGTATTGCTCCAAGCCAATTTTTATAGACTAGCTGGGTATGAGGCAAAAATCTTCTAATTGAAGATTTCTGCATTATTGCTTGACAGTCCTCAAGCATTTGCTGGGAGGTGACTCATCCCAAACCAATCCTTCCTTTCATGGCTATTGCTTGCACCCTCTTGTGGTTAAATCAATACAATTTCACAGGAAACACCACAGTAATCAAAGAAAAGTGCCATATTAATATATATTTATAGAGTAGTTACAAATTTGACCACTTTGTCATATTACCTACAAGAAGTGTCTTAAACCTTGGCACAGGTTAAAAGTGGACATGACCATCCAATAGTGGACAAAAAAATTGTGAAGAAAAGATACACTTAGCTGAGAAAGAGCTGCAACAATGAAACACTAGTATGGTATAATGAATGAATTATCACACTTTAAACAGAGAACTTGATTGAATAAACCTATCTAAGCATGCCCTAATTTGTTCTAATTTGTTACTTTTCTGATATTAAAGCTCAGCTGCTGACAAGCATTTGTTAAGCTTAACATAATTAAGTGTTGTTTAAACTAATTACAAAAGTAAGGTAGCAACAAAAGTTCAGGTCTTAAAAAAACATTAGCATAACTACTCAGCACGTAGAGTAAAAACATTGATAGCAGTGGATGGAGAGTGACAGTTTTCATCAAAATACACAATTCTATTTTTTATGTATGTATGTGGATATAAGAGGAGAAAATGCAAAAATGCTGCCAAAATAACACCTCTGGTCCCACAGTTACCTGCAGCTGCCCGTGCAAATGGCCAGCTAGATACCGTAACAGTGTGAGTTAGTTTCTAATACTGATTCAATCTGAGAGGATAAAGTAAGCTACAGCACAGCAGAGGTAAAAAAAAAAATCAAAAACGAAAAACCAAGCAGTAAATTGTAACCAGGCAGTTCAGCTCCCTTGCCAGCGCCTGGGGGAGGATGTGCAGTGCTGCACAGACCTTACCATCGTAGCTGTGAAGGGGATGTTGTCAATCACAGAGGAGGCCAAAGCAGACACCCAGAGCACTAAAATGATGGCCACTGCCAAGCGCTGATCCTCAGGAACCACCTGGAAATGAGAGAGAGAAAATGAGAACTTTGAGACCAGTGTTGCTCTGTGTGTCCCCCACGGCAAAATTGCACGTTCTTTACAGTTTTAATTTATCGACATCTATTATTCCTTTAGGCTCTGAGATAGGAAAGGCATCTTAGATAAAATAGGCTAACATTTAGTAACATAATTACGGTTCTTCTTCCAAGAAAACATGAACAAATAGAAGTACAAAGATTGATATTTCTAATACTCAGATTTCACACAAAAAAATACACTGTGAAACTATGAATTTTGATCTTTAGTTGTTTATACATTTTTCACCTTTGCATTTTTGGAGTTTTTAGACTACAGAAAAAGCTTCTCTGTTCCATTTATGGTATGTTTATTCTGGCTGTAAACAGATATATACATATTAAATATCACCCATGCCAAAGTATCACATGCTTTCTTGATATTCCTGATTCAGGAATGCAACCCTTAACATCAAATTCAAAATAAAAGTATTCTATATTGTTCTACTGGAATAAAACTATTTTTCTTAACTGTTAAAAAATATGAATATTTTAAACATACCTTTATTAACAGAGCAGTCTGCTCTCCTATATAGTCTATTAAGTGCAAATGAGCCAAGGCCTGGAAAAAAAAAATACATTGATATCAACTAATGTACTGCATGAGGTACTTACTTTTTTTCACTGGATGTAAGAAAAGGCATCAATTTTTTTCCCATTTACAAGATATTGATATTCAACTCATGTAGCTTCTACAGAAGTAATTTTAGGCAAGAAAAGACACAGCAGAAATTGGTGGCTGTATCTGCAGAAGCGAGTAATGGTTGCAATGAAATTACTTGTAGTGTTACTCAAGAGCATGGGACACAGGATCAGAGAATGGCTGAAATTTAAATTTGATGTTATTCAGAGGATACATGTCTTCTGAAAACCTGAACACAACTGATTTTAAACTGACTTCCCCAAACCCACAATATAGATAGAAGTATATCATGTGTTTCAAAGGTTGGGTGAAATCAGGCATCTCATGCTCAGTCTCAGATGAAGAAACAGGAAAACAAATTATGTTTCTGTTTTATGGCCTTTTCAGACCCACTGAAAAAAAACAAAAACAACAACAAACATACAACAAAAACTACAAAAACCAGTATTCATCTGATAAAACCAGGACTTCGAGATCTTGGATGAATGGAAATTGGCAGCATCATCTGAAAGGCAGGAAATCCATCTCTCCAAGGCCCAAGTTAGGCATGTAAACTAAGGAGGTGAGCCCTGTAAGCACTGACCCCAGGACAAACTGGATCAGAGTGCTCCATCCTCCCTGTTAGAAGCATTCCCAGTTGTACAGGACAATTAGACAGCATCCCGTGGTGCTACCAGAGATGAAAAAACATAGGATGATTTCATTCTGGTGGTGCTAACTCTGATCTCTCCTTGGGCACACAGAATACAGGCTGAGACTTCACACCCAAGAGCAGTGACCTTTTCCCACAAGGTAAAAGGGTGATTTTAACTCATGAGTGCTGGCCTTTAATTCACTTTGGTTTTGTTTTCTTTTCTTGTAGGCATGAAGTACTATTTTCAAGTTTAATAAGTTATATCTATTTTATGACTTCTCAGTTTCTCATGGGAGAAAATCACATAATTTTTGGTTTAGCCTAGACCATGCTGGTTGGTTTGTTTTCATTTTTTTCTGTCAAGTAAAATAATCAGACAGCTGCAGTATGTCACTTACTGACATCAGTCTCTCACAGAGGAGAAGAAGTAAGTATCCACACAACACAGCTCCATATAAAGCCTCCACCTAGCAGTCAAACAGAGCCCTTCAGAGACTGCAGTGGGAAAACACACATTCAACCCCCATGCTGTCAAATTCCATGGCAGGTGCAGACAAAGATCCTAATGGGTATCGAGTGGTGTGGTATGGGACACTGTCTTGTCAGCACTAAGATGCTTTCACTCAGACTGGCAATTCCTGTACCTGCAGCTCAACTGGACATCAGCTGAATGATAGTGGTTTGGGTATCACCACATCAAAAATTTGGCCCAGAAATGTTATTTTTTTTTTAATAATACATTGAACAAGAAAAGGTTTCTGTACAATTCAGAATACAGCATGCAGAAGATAAGCACCAAAACTTTTAAATACATGCACATACCCCTTACACTTTAAAAGAAAAAGAACATTTCTTCATTACTTTGGCTTCCCAGAAGAAAGTTTCCTAAGAAATTATTTTTTGTTGCTGATTTTAAGTTACTATTTTCTTTCTAAGCTGTGTTGCTTTATCAGCTCAAAGGTTATGACAGTGACTTTTTAAATGGATGTAAAAGCAACATCCTTAATGAACAGCAATAGTTTTTTATCATTGCTTTGTGTTCACACTTCAAGATAAACCTTTAAAGAGATAGTTGTCAGCAATTAGAGCCCAGATTCACATTCAATTAATATTGCTTCCTTATTAATTATCTACTAAAAGGACGTATTGTATTTCAGTAAAACTCAAAATTCATTCTGGAACTGAAGAAAAAGAGGTGTCCAGGACACACACATCACTCCTGCAAGAGAGCCCGCAGGTAGCCCATCTTGTTAGTGATGGTGACAATATTAATCACAAAAATAAATTTAGCATATCTCTATGATCTCCAGGCCAACCTCCTGCAAGCACCTAAGTGCGAGTCAGCAATTAGTACCCTGCCACTGTCCTCCCCTGCATGTAAACTGCACAGAAGGTCTCCTGGATATCCCTGTGTCTTCTAAGAGGAGTCATCATTATTGCACTAATTGGTGTCTGCAGGCATACTAGTTCCTGTGGGGCAGTTCGCAACAGAGCTTTTCTGCAGAAAGAAATCATGTGCCATTTTAAAACAAAGTCTGATTTATGCATAAAAATTTTCATTAATCCTCTTGTGGACAGTATGTCATGATGACTCTTGTAAATAAACTCTGCCTGAAGGAATTAAGGTAACATGTCAATCTCTACCATAAAACTCAACAAAGAACTGTAATCCTTAGAGGCATAGGGACTTATTTTACAGACACAAGAAGCAGAAAGGTTTTTATAGCATGTAACAGCCATTTGTGGACAAATACTAAAAAGACAGTTGTAAAGATTACCCAGGGGACACAATAGAAAACAACAGAGCTCCAAAAAGATTTCCAAGTTTTTCATTGCAAAAGATGAACCAGACTGGACTGATGGACCCCGAAAGGCAGAACCTTCAAGAGTTCCCCTGTGGTTCAGGCACTCAAATCACATCTTCCAAAATGTCTGGAACTCAAATCACATTTTCCAAAATGACTTGCAGCCTAAGTCCCACACAGGTTTTTAAATGTGCCTTGTAATAGGAAAGAGAACATTTATAGCAATAGGAAACTGCTTCAGACTGGGAACTATCCAAGCTGAAGGATCACCAAGGGTGAGCAATATGAGCTGACAATTTCTGGCTTCCCTAGACTGTGGAAAGATTTCTTGTACTTCAACATATATCTTTGTTTTGACCAGTTTCTTCTTGACACTGATAACTTAAAGGAAAGGAAAATGTCATGGAAAGGACTGTCACCTACTAATCCAATAGATTCAGATAAAAATTAACAGTGATGATATACACAGAACATTTTCTCATTCATTGTGAAGAAGAATTTAATGCCTCAATTTTGTTCTTGATTATCTGGACAAGTTTCTTTCATGCTGTTATTCTAGAGAGCCATGAAAAATTTTCTTGCATTAGCAAACTATTCACTGGTGACCCGAGAAATAAAAAAAAATGAAGTTTAGTGAATTATAATAGTTGTATCCAAAGTCTGGCAGTAAATGGCAAATAACTTCCTGTGTATTTTACTATGGTATTGTGCAGTTACACAGCACTTAAATCACAGCCAGTCAATCCAAGTTTAAACAATAAATGCATCAGGAAACACAACTAATAAGCTGTTACAACAGCAGTAGACAAAATAAACATGGCTTCAGCATTGATTGCCTATAAGAGCTAGAAAATTCAAGGTTATATGGAACCTCATGAAAAGGAGAACTAAAAATTGTCTGTTCTTATGAGCACAGAATAAATCAATACTTCCTGATGAATTTTATACGTAGTAGCTCACAGGAAACTTCATAATGATAATCAGAGTTTCCACTCATCTTGGACGTTACCAGATTTTGACTTCCACTTCGGTATTAATTAGAGTTGGTTGGATTGATTCTTGTTTCTATTTGCTTCAAATGTTGTCCCTATTACTGCCGGTGATTTTTTTTAATAGGTTCCAATTTCCAAATTCTTGGGTTCTTTTCAATTATTGTGAAGCAAGAGGAGACAAAAGAGGCTATATGAGAAAATTAGTTATCACAGGCTTTTCCCAGGCTCCTCACACAGGAAATTCACTAACAATGGCAGTGTCAGTGGTCACTTGGGTACCGTCAGTCATGTTTCTACAACACTGTTACATCATTAACAACTATTAACAACTGAAAAATGGTCAGTATTCTAGAAGCCTAATTAAAAAGTTAATGTGAGTAGCCACACACACACACACAATAAAAATCCAAATATTTGGAATAAAAATAAATCCTCTCAAGCTATACAAAAACATCAAATAGGGAATAAAAGTGGATGCAAACAAGGATGGACATGGTTGTTATCAAGCAGAGAAGCACACAGAAACTACACAGCAAGATGTCCAGGCATTTCAAGAGCTGAATATTTTGTAAATTAGCATTGCAAACAGAAATTCTGTGTTATTTTCCTTTCAAATCACACTCTTATGAGATGTCTTAGGCCATTTGGTAGCCAGCATGTAGCAAACCGCACTAGAAACATTTTTCAAATCTGGTTTAATCTTGTTCTATTGTTTTTCCTATCATCTGCATAAATAATTGTAAACAAACACATAAAATATCTACACACGTAGACCAACAATAAACCCAGAAACTGAAATTTAAATTATAGAAAAATGATGTGTCAGATACATTCAACAAAAGCAGAATAGAGAAAAATAATAAGACCAAGTTTATAATGAAAATTTAAATATGAAAGAGATCCAACAAACTTTCATTCTCTGCTATTCCTCTCCATATTACCATAACTACATTTGATCAACAATATTCCATGGGATTTAACCAGCAGGAGGCCTCTCTCCAGGAACATAATTCACATTTGAAATCTTTTGCAATTCTTCAGGCTTTAGAATCAGAGTATTACCTCCATGAGAACAAACAATGCTGCAAAGAAAAGGAGGGTTGCCCACTCAACTCTGTTCAATATCATCTCAAAATCGTGGATGTCTGCTAGCACTAGCAGCCAAAGGGCTCCCAACATGGCAATCCAGCCTGCATGAGAGAAAGAGAGAACAGTGCTTTACACTTCACAGCCTTGTTACGTGCTGCCAACATGTAAGCTACACTACTGTGATTTTCAAAGATTTTTGTCATAATTTTGTTCTGACTGTAACAGAAAAAGTTCACCAATACCACAGGATGAATGGTCTCTACTTTCAAATAAAAATAAAACCTAAAATAAAAAAAACCAAGGCAAAGACAAAGTTGGGTTACCCCAATAATCAATGGCTTTAGATCACAGAGAAACCTTTAGGTATTTACGAACAGTGAAAGATTCTGCAGCTCCTGGAAGGCTGGCTGCATCCCCTGGACCTTGAATACTCAGTGGCTGCCTGCTCTAGAAGAAAACCAGGAAAGGAAACTCTCCTTCGGAAAGAAGAGCAACTTAGAGCAAAAGAGGCTCTCTTCAGATATGCTGCTTCTGTACAACCTGAAGTATTTTAATACAGATATTTAGGTAACTAATTGAAAGAAAATGCAACTCAAACACACAGCCAGAAAATGCAAGTAGCAAATCTCCTGTCTAAGCAAGGCCTGCTTTCCCTCTGCACAGTTAAAATTCTTTCTAGAGCTGTTTGATCCCTCTGGTTCATTTATCTTAAAACTCACAGAGCTCCCAAAGCACCGGAGGAAAGAGAATTGTCAGTTCAGAGTTGTGGAGGAGAGGACAGGACAGGACAGGAGACTTTCTTTTAATTTTTTTATTCACTATGAAGAGTTTTGAAAGTACTAGGATACATTAAAGACTGGCTTCTCTGTTCATTTTTTTCCTAGCTTCCTGGGCCACAAAAGAGAGCCATGAGAAAGAGAAATAGAAATAAATTTTAAAAATAACTTCTCATTACCCTAGTGAAAACAAAGCCCATTTACAGCTCCACAGACCACTTCCTTTACTGCCTTTTAGTGCTTCTGCTTCACTACAATTGATGCCTCAGAAAGAGAACCCAGAGAAAAACTGAATCTAAATTCTATTTTTACCTATTGAAGAGGGTGAGTTTCTATTTATTTTAGGGAAAAGGAAATGAAATTTTATTATAAAATGCATCTTGCAAATTTATAATGCATTCTTCATAAGACAATATTTCCATGTCTTCTGCCTAGTGCCAGAGAAAAAAGTACAGTAGAAATTGCTTAAGTGCTTAGTTTTTCTCATAGCCAGTACACAAAACCACCGTTGGAATAATATTTAGCTCATAAGTGAGTGGAGCACAATTGCAATCCTACTCCAAAAAAACTCCTTATTTTAAAAGAATCAAGTAGATGACCTTGAAAACATGAAACAATCTAACAGAATAAAATAGAAGTTTAGAATTTAGAAGTAGGCAGCAGAAAGAGAAAGAAATTAGAGAGAAAAATTACAGTGTAATTTGTAGGCCTCTCAAATGCTCATTAAGAGGAGTTTGCATTCCTCAGCAAAAGTAATTTTGACCTACTACCTCATAGTAGCAGGTCAGAAGCACAGAAGCATAACAAGCTTCCTCCAAACAAAGTGAAAATGTGAATGCTGTATGCTCACTTTATATGCACAGAATTTGGAGTAATGCATTTATGAAGACTGAGAAAAACTCACTTTTCTGGAAACTGAAATGGCACTTGAGACATTTGGACTGAAAACCAAAGTGAGGATAACATTGCATGATTTCACTGATGGCCTGGGCAAAACACCAGGCTTCTCAAGACAGTGCAAGATAGTACATTTAGGGAGGAAGAGATAAAACTGTAAAAATCCAGGACGGGAAGCAACAGGATGCCAAATAAAAGTCCTACAGAAAAGACTTGAGAAACAGAGCATATCACAACTGACTCTCATGGCCCACTGAAATACAGAACCAGGGCTATAAATAGCAAATTCTGTGAAGCAACCTCTGCTCTCTGGTAAAGCCTTGTTTGGGTTAGGTTGGTTTTTTTGGGGGGGGTGGGGGCGTGGAGGAGAAGTTGGTTGGTTGGTTGGTTGGTTGGTTTTTTACAACAGTTTGTACTGCATATTGTTAATGAGTTTTGTTTTGTATTAATTAGATAATTTAGACTCTAAGTGCTTGTATTATCGTAAGATTACTTTGGTTACTTACTTTTGTTGCACTGATACAACTTTTAATTAAACTGACAATAAATTCTGAGCTCCAGATAATAGGGGATGGTTCCCTTTTTGCCCAGAACATCACAAGCTTAAGAAGACCATGGAGACTTTGAGAGCAGGAGCCTACTGCCATACACAGAGAAAGTATTTGTAGTCCAAATGTTTTGGAGGCCAAAGCTATTTACTTTACTGAAATATCTGAATTTCCAAGCAACTACAGATTATTCAGGACAGTATTTTTTGCTCTACAGAAAAGGTCCACAGTTGCTTCCCAAGCTTTGCATCTGTCATCATTTGTTTAGTTTATCAAGTCATGTTAGAAAGCTTTCCAAAATAATGAAATCCAATTTAAATCAGAATTAAAAAAAATAAAGACAAAGAAAAAAAATAGTCATTGTGACAGCTTTAAATGCAGTTGACAATAAAGTATCATTTGAGCCATTACTTAGAAGTCAACACCTACAAGTTTTCATCAGCTAAAACTGATTCATTTCCTAGACCTAGCTAATTTCTAGATAAATGTTTGTTTTGGTGACAAATTAAAGACCAAATGTGCACTTTTCACAATGAGGATATAGTGACATAGGAAATGAAATATAAGATGTGCTAAACTTAATGTCATTCTTGGCATCTGGCCTACGCTTTCTTAAATCTAGCTTGTTCACCAGTTTTTATATCTTAATAGCTGTCTGTCTCACCAGGATTTTTTGTTTTCTTAAGCATTAAAAAATTATTCATCAGCTTATTAAACAGGTCTATGGTTTTTGTCAGATATTTTATAAAACAACTCCTGAATAATCCTGAGTAGCTCTATAATGAACAGTTCATCTTAATTATTGCACAAATTAACCTGAAAACAAACATAGGGAAGATACAAACACTTCAATTTTTTTTTCCTCTCCAATGGGAAAAACACATTTTTAAGTAAATTTTGTCTGATTCTGCAAATATAGTTTTATTGTTTGTAAACACTGTAGAGCTGCACAGAATTCACAGCAGCTCAGCAACTCACTGAACTGACTAAAACCAAATCAAAGATAAAGCACCTTCCCAACAGAAGAATAAAGAATTAAGCTATAAATTGATTTTGGTGGTTTTTCTGACTCAGTCACTTTGAATGCTCCCTTCAAAAAAATCTAGCTTAAAATTCAAACAAAATCTTACTTTATATTATTTTTGAAATCTTTTTGGACATATTAATATAGTCCAAAGCTCTCGACATGCCTGCCTAAAAGATAAAGTCAAAATAGTTGCCAGGTCCAATCCTCAAAGAGGCTTTACTTTCATCCTTTGTCATCTTTATCAATTCTTTATCAATAAAATAAAATTTCACGGGGCCAAATGAAAGTACTGTGGGAGTCTTACAGTTTTTAGTATCTGCTTTTTTTAAGTCTCAGTACTAAACTTTTATTAACATGGATATTTCATAGAATTACACTAAATAAATTAATGAACAGGCATAAGAAAACTGAATGGGAAAAGTTCTGCATTTCAAAAGGCAGCTAAGTATGTAAATTTTATTATTTAAATTAAAATGTCAGCACCTTCAAATTATATTAATGACTACAAGTTCATAATAAAAAAATTCTATGAAGGCTTGGGACTGATAAAGAATTTTAAGATCTTTCTAATTCTCTGTACTCAATGCAATTTAAAGTTTTTACATTTCTAACACTTCAGCCTCTGCATAAACAATAATTCTGGTAAAAATTTAAACACTGAACTGCAATTTACTTTCATTTTTATGAGAAAAACGTATTGAACAAATTTACCCAAGCCAAGAGTACAAGATGTAGTGTATATTAGTGTATATTAGGAAATACATTTCCATGCCTTAGAAGAGTGAAATCTGTAGAGACTCACAGCAGCACTACTTTGGTAATGATAAATAAGTGACAGCTATCATCAAGATAGTGAGATTCAGGAAACAAAAATGAAAACCTGTAAATTTTGGAACCTGTAAACTTAGCAGTAGGAGTTACAGGTTCAATTACTTTTCAGTAGAAATTACCTGTATGCTTTAGTAACATTTATTCATTAATCTGACAGGATTGCCATGAGTGCAGAGTGGGGAGAAATTATGCTGAATACATACAGCCCTTATTTACTTTCAAGGTTGTTATTCAGCTACTGAATAACAGAAACCTACACTGCCAAACATTCCATTTGTTTTCGTTTATTTACGGGCCTAAAGCAGGACAAAACAAAACAAAACTAAACAAAAAGATCAGTAGTTACTATGTTTCTTCAAGCATGACTCCAACTCCTTTGCAGTTTTGAAAAAAATGTCTTACCAGGAGCATACACAACCAATGCTGTTTAGTCTTTATTGACTGTTTGGCTTTTCAAAAACATTTAGAGATGTTTAGCTTAATTCAAGGAGTCCTACATGGTTCAGTGCTGCTTATCCGAGACACAAAAGTAAGGGTGTAAATTGATTTCTTAAATTGTCAATGTGAAGGCCTTTCTTATCTTCTCAGCCACCGTGACTTCAAATGCATTCAAATATTTTCAGCTTCTGCATTTTCCCAGACCTTATTAACTTAGCACTTTTGCTGTTATAATACATCAGTTTACCTTTTAACTTCTTAACAGACAGTAATCTTCATGGGCTGAAATTGCCCATCTGCATGGTAAATAGTCTGTCAGTAGCAGATATGGAAGGTCTTGAGTACAACCTGATCACCACTGTAGAGCTATAACTGGCTCTATATTTTGCAAAGTGTCAATGTAATATCTGTGTATATGATTATTGAGTTACTCATTATGAGCTATTCCTCTTCAAGACTGCTCTGTCTTTCAGCCACTGAGATAGAAGTACATGGTGTGTAAATTCAGATTGCATGAAAAAAAAATGTATCTGGAATTCCATAATGAAGAGCTCAGCAGACAAAAAAAAAGTTTTCATTTTTTATTGGTCAATGCATAGGTTTTATGACTGTCTTTCTGTTAAGTGTGTGATTCCATTTGGTTCTGTTTTCAGGATATATGGAGCTTTTTCTTGTAGAGATGTATAACTACCTGTATAGAAACCTCCACACATAGATTTATATATATATAAAGTATGCACACAACTACTTTCATTTCACCCATATACAGTGTCTTCTGTTTTTTTATTTTTGGAAATGAATTGTTATGGCGATAAAGTAATGGAGACTGTAAATTATACAAAGAGCTTTCTATATTTAAGAAATAATGCCAAACTGCTGCTTTGCTCTCCCATGAAGTGATTATTTTCTGATATCCCTGATGCATCTTGGTCATTCACTCAAACAGTGCAAATGATGCCAAAGTCAAATTTGCTCATTCCACAATGTTCAGCCAGCTCATTAGTATTGGAAAGTCCAGAAAATGAAGTCATGAGCACTCTCTGTTATTCCTCCTGGGGTAACTGGGACATGACTGAATTTTTAAAACCTGCTCTTCTCTTCCCTGAGAAATTGCTGTTTAACCTGGTAGAATAGTAAGGACAAGGACATATGAAAAATGGCTTTCTGAAAAGATTGAGACTCAGAAAGATACAACTGGATTTTTTTCAGGGAGGTTGTTTATTTTACTTAGAACAAAACTAGGAAACTTACCAAGATCTAGGTAGATGCCTGGAACAAATGAGTTGAGGAAAAACATAAGAATAACACATCCCAGTACTGTCAGACATTTAATGAGAAGAATTTTGTCTGTTATTCTGTGCTGGAGACAGACAGGAAAATAAAATTAGTAATTGTATTCAAGAAGAAGCTATGTGTTATGCATAGAATTCAGAAAAGCACGTGTGCAGCGCAAACTGCTGTTCCTGTATTGTATATTCCTCTTCAGCATAAAAGACAGAACTACCTGGATAGTTTTTATAGGTGTGCATCTTAGGCATACTGATATGCAACTCTCAGGTATATGCCAAGCCTCTCATCTCTACAGAGTTGTACACCTCCGGGCCCAGCACCAGCTTCGCTGCCAATCTCCTCGTGCCCTCAGAGCCAGTGCTTTCCATCATGTCTCTGCTTTCACTACAGCTCCAGGGAGCCGCTCCCAGACCTAGTTCTTTTCTCATAGTTTAAAGCTCTACTAAAATTCAAGTAAGTCTCTCTTCTTTAAAAGGTTTGTCTCTTATGCAATGCCTTGAAAGGCACATAAAGAAGATCTGTTGTGATTCCTCTGGTTTGGTGTGACACCTAGGACAGCATGCTCCCAGCCAAGGACTTGCACCCCAAGGAGTCCAATCAAGGACTTGAGCTCTCAGACACAGGCCTGATTCATTACTGATGCCAGTGAGGTACAGAGATTAAGACACTTAGATAATTAAATTTAGGAGACATTAATCCCACTACAGAGTTTCCATCTTCTCAGTTTCAGCATAAAGGCTTAAGTAGTGCTAGTGTGTGCACAGCTAAGAGAAGAGGATTTATCAGGTGGTTTATCCCTACTTGAATAATAAAAGCAGTTGTCACCAAAATGCATTAAATTAGGGTCAGCACTGGGTACATTAGGAGGAGTGTACTCTATTATCATTCATCAAGACTACAAACAATTTATTGACACCTCCTGAGCATTTCTGGCTATGGACTAAAAATTTAAGAGAACACTGCTGAATCATTGATTGATTCTTTAAGTTATAGTTTTCTAAGGAACAAAAGTACAAAACCTAACAAAAACTCATCATGTGGTTCAGTAACCTTGTCTGACCAAGAAGCCAACCACCCTGGCTGCTAACTTTTTGGCTATCAGGAGAGTTATTAAATTTCCGTTAGATTTAAAGCTCTATCTCTATATAAAGGCACAGCTTTATTTACATGTATACTGAAAGAATTGCCATCTACTTACTTTTTTCTGAAGTTCCTGGATATTTGTTTCCCAGTTCTTATCTTCTTGTGAAATTTGCCTGAAAGAAAATGACACCTACTTTTTTCTGGAGTGAAATCAGAGCTCTGCCAAGAGTGTTGGAATAAATCCCTCTCATCACAAACAGATCACCTCTTTCCCTGTGTGGAGTAACTCATACCACAAGGGAGTCATAGCCTTCTTCCATCCAGCAGCAAAATTCCCATGGGCATTCACTTAAGACTCCACCTTTGTTACAAGCTCCACTAATACACAAACCCTTCTGATCATGAAGGAAGCCACAGGCTGGGAAGGAGCCGAACTCCAGGGTATAGACCTCACTATAGGATCTGGCAATCTGCAATATATAGTTCCCTTAAGTTCCCTTAATATGTAGTTCCCTTAGTTTCAGGAGCTGATGTGTGTGTCCCACTGCGATAAAACAAGGGTCGTGTGCTAACATCAGCAAGCCAGAACACATATGTTTCACATTTTCATTTTATAATGAAGTTTTGAAGATCCAAATCACTTCACCATGTTATCAGCACAGTCAGGCCTCCAGCAAAAAGCTTTGGGCTTTGCAGTTCAGGAGCCCCCTTACTAATGTTAATGAATTTTTACATTGCTGTAAATGTGCTGTGCTGGAGAAATCCTGATTTTCAAAATTAAATATACAACTTTTATTTTTAAGTCAGAAGGGTCCTCTTTAGAATATTGTAAAGTCTGATAAACTTAAAATCTCTTGAAAAGAAGGTGATTTTAACAGCCTTACTTTTCTTGAAGTATTACTACTGTCACTCAATTCAAGATACATAGTATCAGCAAAAATTATGTAAACAATCTTATTTCTGGAGTAGTTCAAGAAATAATATTTACATTTTCTTGCTCAAATTCTTTTACAACATTATTAAAATTAATTATTACAATTTCATTTTTCTCAGCTAACATACAAAATATTTATCACCGCTACTCTCATCCATTGAATTCCATAGCATAACATCTGGTTTTACTAGAATCTAAACAAAACAAGGTCATTATTCTTTCAGCTGTAGTTTATGTAACCTTCTTTTCTATACATAAAAGTATGTCTGCACTCAGGTTCAAACTGAAATTTTGACTATGAAATAATTTTAAAACACAGCAGTTCATTGATGAAATGCTTTTCAAATTCACCCATTCACTGAAGAGAATTTGAATTTTTCAGTAAAAAAAAAAGAAACACTAGCATCTTACTGTGCTGAAGCCACAACAGTAAGGAAAACTGTAGTGATATATTTGTGATCTTTTGAAATCAAAAGCTGCCTGAAATTTCTAGGCCTTTAATCTTGGGTCATATTGACAAATATATTTTCCAGGCCTTACACATCAGTTTTGTCCTAAATACTTTGTTTTTTACTGAGGCTGAGAGTGGCTTTTCCTATCTGCTCCAACATCCATCTCACCAAGACAGAGCTAGGAATGCAGTTCTTGTCCCAGTGAAGATCCCTGAAAGGAGAGGTGGGATGTGCTGGGTCCTTGCTTACCTGTGAAATGTCATCAGCTTCTTCCTCAGGAGCATCTCCAGAGTCAGCACCTTCTGCATCAAGAGGCATTTCACAGCAGTCTCCTCTCTGCTGGCTGGGTTGATGCGCTGAGCTGTCAGCCTCCAAACATAGATCTCATGTTTCAGCTCTGAAAAGAAGTAAATTGCATCAATGTGAAGTTCAACGCGTATGAAACCAGAGATGGATAATATATGTGTAATGTGCTCTGGACTCAAAGCTGTTAAGGTTATTGCGTTGGTTTCCCAACAAACTTCCACTCATGAAGCTGCTTTTGTCATTCATTTTGCAGAGCTGAAGTAAATGAAAAATAAATAGAATTTTTTCAAAATTTTAAAGAAATTAACTGTGAAGTCTTTTTTTCAAAGAAAAAGTAGTACTGTCTTCAGATGCTTCCAAATGTCTTCAACAAGCTTAAGGGCTAAAATTGTAGCCCACTCATTTTTCAACAGAAAACAAACTGTCAGGATACAATATTATACTGCTAAGAGATACTAGTTCCCTGTGTAGTTAGGAATTACAGCAAATGCTCCTTCACAGTGGAGCAGCATGTTTCCATTGGCTCTATGTTCATACGAGCAATTTTATCTATGTAAGGCAAAAGTGAAATTTGGAACTTACATCTGATGTAAGGAATAATCTTTAATAGTATTTTAAAGGTTTCCTAGGGGGATTTAATTCTTAGGCACTGAAAAGATGTTTAAACACAGAGACCATCACTTTCATGCTGACATGGATGACAGCTGATCGTGTGTAAGTTCAGACAGAGTGACTAACACTTTGAAATCAGACTCTAGAATTTTCTCAGAAATTTAAATCCTTTTTGATTATTTTTTCCCTGTACCATTGAGGCCTTGGAGAACAACAAAAAACATGTTTCTGTTCAAGAAGAATGTTAAATTGGGCATGCTAAAAAAAAACATTGAATTTTACAGGAAATTACTAAAGAAAAAAATCAGAATATTCATTCAAAAACTGGCTCTGCAAATGTTTCCTGTTGAAGTAATGGGATGTTTCCTCACGTTTCTTTTTCATTCCAGTCAAATTGCATGTCATTGAAGACAACATGTCAGGAATCCAAGATTTTATGTTTTAAGATTTCTGTACAGTCAGCAGGTTGTTCTTGTTCTTAAAATGGACATGTAATTCTTTACATCAGGTAAGCAAGCTGTAAGAATTATTGATTAAAAAATATTTAGTTACATAGGAAAAATTTAAACACATTTTGATGTAGTGATGTTAACATTTTATGCTGCAACTCTCTGGAGGGTGATGATATGTGCTATCAAAGAGAGTACCAAACATGTTTAATTCCCCAGTTCCCTTTATAACTAAGTATTGATAATGATAATACACACTGAATCTTTAAAAGATTGACCATGAGAAGGAATTAGACTTAACAAAGCTCAAATATTTAATAACAAAACTGTGTCCAGCGTCTGTGTGGTTGAAACAGAAGAAAGGGATTTGAACAGCAATTGACATACATTTTGTATGGTTTTGTGTCTGTAGATCCACACACATCTGTCAAAGTGGCAATGCTTGCCTAAATTTTACAGTGTAAGACCAGAAATACAAATCCACACTGCTGAAAGCCCAGTGACCATCCTGGGTAGTTAAACAACTAGTGCTCAGCTAAAGCTTTTCTTCCTGGAAGGGCATTTATACCTGAACCACAGATTCTAAAAGTCTGCCAAATCAACCACTTTCCTTTGTAATATATTTGGTGGTTCTTGCCAGGAGCATAATCTGGCAGAAAATTATATCACAATATGGATAGATCTTGCTTATCAAAGGATCCACGTGACTTCTGGCCACCATTTATTTTAGCATCAACATTTGCAACACACAGATATAACAGGAGTAATTTTCCACTCACAGAGGAAAAAAAAAGGCCCTTCTGTGCTTCATTCTTATGTGATTTCTTAGTGAATGTGACTGCAGTTTTGGAACTGTCATCGGTCCAAAAAGTGTATTTTGTCTTTTTCTCTGGCATACGTTCATGAAGCATGAGCATCCAGTTTGCTGTTCTACCTCCCTACAGTTTGTCTTTTCTGACACAAGTTTTCTGATGACATCTGTTCTTCCTGCCATAGCATTTCTCCTCATCCTTTCCAAGTGCAATTGCACCAAGGGTTTAGCTGATAGAAGGAAGCTGAATCATTCACCACCTAAATGAGACGCAAGTACTCCACAGTTAATTTCATACAGAGAATCTCTGTCTTCAATCCTTCAGAAAGAGGCAACTATGCTCACTGTATCTGCCACAAACAAATCCACAGAGTGGAAAGCAGCATGCCTTGCTTGTGTTGCAGATTCTTGTTTCACATCTAAAATGCCCTGAGGCTAATCTCCAAGTTGAGCTAAGTTGGACTGGTGCTTTGTGATCTATGTCAAACAATATTTAAGTGGTTTTTGTCACATGGCTTTGATCGTGCCTTTATGTACAGCAAGTGCATGCTTGATTTTTGTGTCATCAGTTTTCTAAACATCCCAGGGATGTGAACATCTGACCTGATGTGGAGTTTACTTCAGAGCAAACTGTTCTTGGAAAATCAGAACAATTGATGCATCTTCTCTACCACAACTCCTGTTTCAGTAATGATTTGTGCAGAGGTTTTCTAGGTCATCCCCCAGAATGTTTCTCCTACTTCTCTCTTATGCACACTCTTATTGTAAATAGCCCATTGTGGCAGCAGGTGATACATATTTATTAGAAGTAGTGCTTCCTTCGAAGGAAAAATCATGCAGAACCTCGAAGTCAGCAACAACAATTAACATGGCCAAAGTCCTTCGGGCCTTGCTATACTTCTCCCATTTCATAACTGCAAAACCATTTAGGCAGCAACCCCCAGAGTCTGGGAACATCTGATATTTTATGAAATACTGTGTTACACATGGACAAGGGCTTAATGCAACCAGAGAGTCTTATCAATCACTTTGAAATTACAACCAAGAGAGCACAAGGGCAGCATTTGGCTGCCACTGAACCAAATCACAGGATAGTCTCATGCTGTGTTTGTCCATGTCCATAAGTTCCTGTCCCCTCCTCAGATGAGATCTAATGGTTATACTACACCAGCTGTCTTCACTCACTTGTCCAACCCAATCCACAGGGTTTTTGCAGGATTGGCTTTATGGTGGATCAGGCTTCTATCCAGTGCAACCTACCACTCTCAGGTCAATTGCCTTGAACTGATGTGGTAAGGCTATAGCATGTTTCTCATTAAAGCAGCTAAATTAACATTTGACTGCAACTGTAGTACCAGTAGCCAAAGTGATAGAAGCAAAGCTGTTTAGTATGCAAGGGTCTGGAGCACAAGATATCAGAGCTGCAGCTCATCTCAGTCAGAGAATTAAGCTCATTATGATACAAAAACCTTTGTGAATGCCATACATTCACAAAGCCCACCAAGCACGACAGCAATATACCTAGCATTATTATTTCCAACAAGAAAATAGAAAAAATTCCATTTCCAACAACAAAATATTAATTTTTGGCTTAGTTATCAGATCAAATAAAGTCTCTTCAAACATGTAAACCCTATGCTGCTATTCTGTTCTGACTTTATTATCGATCATATTTTGCCATGGAAACCACAAACATTACATCTTGGACCCACTGAGTTTAACAAAATTTCAGCTGCTGACCTGGACTGTGACAGTTTAGAAAAAAATTCAGCACGTTATAAAATATTTTTTACTTGAAAACTGCATTTTTTTCTGCAATCTGACAATTAATAGTCAGATTGATTTTCACTTGAGTAATCACACATTCCTCCTACCCAGCTGCCAATAACAAAGGCGACATCCTCAAGAAATGAGTGTAATTAATTCCCAGTCTCAGAATCTGAAAAGGCCAGTTTTGTTAATTGAAGATACTCAGAAGAGCATGACCAACCTTGATGAGATGATAAGAATTATCATTTAATGACAATTTCCAATTTGCATGTGCACTAACTACATAAACTATCTTTTTGCAAGCAATACCAGTTTGCACTGCTGGGCTGTATCTAACAACATTCAAAGTCTGTTCGTCTGAGTATTTGTCTAATTCTTTTCTCCACATGTTACTGTAGCCTAACTATTTTCAGTAAAATAATTGTTTTTCTTAGCCAAATTCTCAGAATGAGAATATTTCTGTTTAAATACTAACTGTCAATTAAGCACCATGCTTAACTAGTAATAATAATATCTATAACTTTTAGTAATTTTTAAATCCCTCATATTATGTAACTAATCTTCTAAGCATTATGCGATGGTGTCGTCTCCATTTTGTAAGTGCAGAAACTAAATCCAAGATTTGAAACCCATGAGTAGGAAAAAATTCACCTTGAGGGATATTACAGCTCAAACACTCATGCCTCTCTCCTAGAGGCAGCACCCCCAACAGGACACAAGCATGTATCCTAATCTAAAGCTAACCTAAATCTAGAAAAATAAACAAACAAAACAAAATGAAACAAAAAAGCATTAAAAAACTCAAAATAAAACAAAAAATCCACCAACCATTTATAAATGCTATATGGTCTTCAAAACTACATCAAAACATGTTTTGCCTAATTCAGCTACATACATACAAAGGAACACAAGAAATGTGCAAAATGCTGCATAAAGCAATACAGAGATTTTATATAAGCTATTCAACTCAGTGTGACATCTGAGGCCTCGTTTGGTCATAAAGGCACCTAATGCCAGCTCAGCTACCCAATATGGGATTGCATCCATCACACAGGAATTACAGGGCATCCTCATCCTGCAGCAGAACAGCTGGAGCCTGGGCAGAAAATCACAAAGCTCATAATTTCAAACACCTAAATTACTCACCAGGAGTCACCTTCCAAGCAAGCTGGAGCAGGCTGCAGCAGGCCTGTGAAAGAATTACAAGCCTAACCATGATTTTATATGGGAATAGTCAATTTAGTATGTGTATGATGGTCACATAGGACTCAGCTGGAGTAATCCGCAGATATTAAGGTGGGTTACATTTCTCATAATGTTTCAGGATGGTTGATAAAGATACATGTTACTCTTCAGTAGCCTTGTTCCTGAAGGACAGGTGGGATATCTCTCTCTCAAGTAACATGGGCTCTCTTCTTATCTCTGGGTAAGTCAGACTTTAGAGTCACA